GGTTGGTTGAGAAGGTAGCCCGCCGTTCATCCCCTTCGGTGGTTTCTTTCATATTTTAGGAGCCTGCAGTGATTCAAGAGCCACCCAGCTCAGAAAAGACACCCCAGAAAGAAGCAGGAAGAAATGGTTGCACTTTGGCCCAAGAGATGGTGCAGCCAGAGAAAGACGGTATGGAGCAGACTCGGTCACATTTTCCTCTTTAGGATAAACTCTAATGCCAAACCAGGGCATTGGTCCACCTAGTCTAGTTGATTGGTCATGGCTCATCATAGTGGTCTTTCCCCAGCCTGAGACCCTTGTAAGCAGACACGCAGAATGTGAGTGTAGTGTCTTGAAGTGGTAGCTGTGTCTCTTTGGATGGTAGAGAGAGATTGCATTTTTAAAATGTAAAGGAAGTTTCTGCAAGGAGAAAGCTAGCACCACAGGGAGAAGGCGGGACTAGAATCTAAAGTGACATGAAACCAGATCCTAAGCCCCACAAGTTCAATAAGATGTTTGTTGTTGTTGTTGCTGCTGTCAGGTCACAGCTGACTTATGGCGACCCTGTAAGGTTTTCAAGGCAAGAGGTGTTTGGAGGTGGCTTGCCATTGCCTGCCTCCGCGCCATGACCCTGGTGTTCCTTGAACATCTCCCATCCAAATATTAGCCGAGGCCGACCCTACTTAGCTTCCGAGATCTGATGAGATCGGGCTAGCCTGGGCTATCCAGGTCAGGGCTCAGTAGGATAGAGTCCCAAACAAATTTGGATTGTGGCCCTAGTAAGTCAATGCAGTGCCAGCTCTGGAATGTTATTGTTCTGGATGATGTTTCACCTCCTGTAGTAATTCTATCCAGGATGCCTCCATCCCCACCCACCCCCATTTTCCTTTATTATCTCCTCCTCTATCAAAATTCAGATCAGAAACTCCTTTGGGGCAGGGACCTGTCATCCTCTCCCCATTTGGTTTGACCTTCAAAGCCCGTAAACTGGCCTCATCTGTTGATGGCACCATCTAAATATGATTGTTATGCTGCTATTATAGAATGGATAAATATAAAAATAACACTTGCACTGCCTTTCTTTTCCTTCAGCTTCTCCTGCCCGAGAGGAACGGTTTGACCTGGATGAAATTCTCAGCTCCACTCCAGAACTGGCGCCTGCCCCACAGCCACCAAGCAGGTAAAAGGGATGTGTCCACTTCCTAAACTTCCTGGTCTAAGCAGAAAGGACACAGATAGGGTAATCCTGGTTGGCCAGTGCCCAAACACGGACTGTGCTGGCCTCCACTGGTGGAAGGAAACTGCTAGGCCAGTGATGGCGAACCTTTTAGAGACCGAGTGCCCAAACTGCGACCCAAAACCCACTTATTTATCGCAAAGTGCCAACACGGCCATTTAACCTGAATACTGAGGTTTGCCTTTAGAAAAAACAACTCATATATTTAACTTAAGATGATCCAAACAAAGTAAGGAAAGCAATCCCAAATGCTTTCATTTACTTTAAATTATTTGGCAGAGAATTCGACACTTTAATGGTTGTCTGGGTCTGGCTGGGGCGATGGCACACGTGCCCACAGAGAGGGCTCTGAGTGCCACCTCTGGCATCCGTGCCATAGGTTTGCCACCACTGTGCTAGGCCCTTCCTTCCTGCCCCCTCATCTTCAGCGTGGCTGTACTGCTCCCTTCACCCCCTGGCCTTTCCCTTTCCCTTGTCGGTGTTTGCACTTGAGCCACATGAGCCCTTTTAGCTGCTTTGGAGGACCACAAACCAATGAGTCTGATGGCCAGACAGGAAACTTTTCTTCCCTCACACCTTTCTTCAGTTGTTGTTTTGAAAGCACTGTAGCCACAGCAGGGAGGAGAGTGCCACGAAGGTGGTATTTTTGTGAAGGACATCCTAATGTCCCTCTCCTCAGATTACCCCCCCCCTCCACCTTCCCCACAGACCCAGTACATCTTCACACTGGTTTCTGTCTACTGTGGTGTCAAGTGTGGGTGTGTATTCCCAGGGTGAAGGTGGGTGGGTACTCTGTCTATTTGTCTGTCTGTCTGTCTCTCAGCCCCCTGAGTACAACCCTCGAGCGCAACACGGTCTCACTTTTCGCCGAGGTCTCGGGCCTCAGCCCAGAAATTCTCAGCGATATGGATGACGGTGCCGATCTGCAGGGTAAGCATATTTGCTTTCTCCTTCCTGCCAGGACTTCCTAATTCCCACCCTTCTCCCAGAGAACACAGCTGGTGCTACTCCTGGAACACCTGGCTCCCAGAGCCCCTGTGGGGAATTAGTATTTGAACCTGCAGCACATTAAAAAAAAAATCTATGTTTTTAAAATCTTTGCAGGAGATGTCTTAGAAACCCTAATGGCGGAAAACATGCAACTACAAGAGGCACGGTGAGAAGGATGGACCCTCTTTATCCCACCCTAAAGTGAAGGGAACTGGGGTTCCTGGGAGGGAAAGGTTTGCTGATGTCCTCATCCAAGATCTGGTCTGTATATGAAGAGAAAGAGACTGGATTTATACCCTGCTCTTCACTCGGAGTCTCAGACCAGCTTATAATCTCCTTCCATTCCTCTCCCCACTACAAACACCCTGTGAGGTAGGTGGGGCTGAGAGCGCTCTGAGAGAACAGTGGCTGACCCAAGGTCATCCAGCTGGCTGCATGTGGAGGAGTGGGGAATCAAACCCAGTTCTCCATATTAGAGTCCGCCACTCTTAACCACTACACCAAACTGGCTCTCTATGCAGCCCACTGGGGCGGGAGTGAGATGGCAGAGCTCTGAGGTGGTGGAAGGGTCTGTACCACCAGATTGCAGGGGAGTGCACATTTTAATTCCACTGAATAAAATGCATGCTGCAAGAAAACTGATGCAGCCGGGAGTGGGCTAAACTGGACCCTTTCTCACTGATGACCTAGTTGTTTCTTTTACTTGAAGGGACCTTTTAGTGTGTTTGGGGTGGAATAAAAAATGGTATTCTTGGCAGGCGATTAGATGGACCTTGATTCAGACCTGCCTCACAGTAAGGTCAGACCTGGCCTGTCCAGCTGGGCCCAGGTTAAAGCTAGGTTTGAGTTAGGGTTGCTAGTCCCCAGGTAGTTATTGGAGGTCTCTTAGAATTATGGGTAGTCTCCAGGCTAACAGAGATCAGAAAATGGCTGCTTTGGAAGGCAGACTGCATAGCATTCTACCCCAACCCTCTCGCCACCTCCTAAATCTCCAGGCATTCCCCAACCCAGAGCTAATTTGAGTCCAGTAGCGTGGTATACTTGTCAGATGAAAGCTGCCCTCCTGAAACTATCTTCTTGGAAGGCCCCAGATTAAAGCTGTATCTCTTGCCCTACCGTCTTCAGGACGGCTCTGGACACTGCCCGCCGCCATCTGATTGCCCGTGTGGAGGAGCTTGGTGAGGAGCGTGAGTCACTGAGGATGGAGCGTGATGTGGTGGCCGGGATCTTGAGCCGCTGCCAAGCACAGCTGAAGGAGGCCGAGTTGGAGCTGAATCGGTATGACCCTGGAACTGCTCCCCCTGCCACAAAGGGCCTGTTGGATCCCCCTGCCTCTGTCTGGCATCTTGCTTTGCCAGAGCCAGTGCTGTCCAGGGGGTGAGGAGCTGGACTTTGGCTCATTGTGGACTTAGAATGCAGCCTTGTTTGAGTTCTAGCTTTTTAGTCATCTTGCCGGTGGAACAGGAAGAACTAGTCCCATTCTAGAAGGTGATTGGTAAAACACTTTGCAGACTGGATCGACTGCACCTTCTCTTGCAGATAAACCAACAAATAATCTTCTTAGGTGACAGAAACGTGTAAGGCACACTAAGGTTTGTTGGGTGACGGAGGTGTCTTTTGAGTGAGGCTTGCCTGCAGCTGCAACAGGAGCTGGGAGAATCTTGATAGGACGGAGTGGACTGTACTACTTCAGCCTATAGGTGGCTAATGCCACCTTGGAATGGTTCCTAATGTCAAAGCTTCACGCCAGTAAAAAAGCCAGCCCATCAAGGAGAAAGGCTGCAGCCCATGTTCCTCCTTCTTTTGCTAGTTTTCTAGGGCTATTTTTCCCCACAGATATCTCAAAAATAAGATTGCCACTCCCTCCTCTGGCAGCCTGAAGTGGTACAGTCTATTCTATGATCTTTGAGCTGTCCCAACTCATTTTGATACAGGTGTAGAGCAGCTAGCCCTTCTTAGTTGGGGCTGGGCTGCAGCTCAGTGGAGGAGCCTCAGCTTTGTATGCAGGGAGTCCCAGGTTCAATCATGGGCAGCAAGGGGCCAGGCTGGAAGTAATGTGAATAGATTCTGCCTGAGATCCTTGAGAGCTGCAGCCAGTCTGACAGGACAAGACGGACCTTGATGGGACCCAGGGTCTGCTTTCGCATAAGGCCGTGTGTGAGTTGCTCTTCTTTGGGGGAGACAGCTGAAGTTGGAGAAAGAGAGAGACCCTGCAGGCTCGTGTGCTTCTGCCGAAATCCTTCTTGCGAATCCTTCATGCAATTTGATGTGTTTTTACACTTTTGGGTTTCAGTGGTTGTTTATTTTGAATGATTTTATGTTTTATGATTTGGACTTCTGCATTGGGAAATAAGCCACCTTGAGCAGACCTCTGAAGAGGTTGGCATATAAATGTTTGAAGTAACTAACCTTGGTTTTTCTACGTTAGCGTATTCTCTTGAAGAATACCTGCTCAGAACATGTTGGGGGATGTATTTAAGAAGCCCCAGTGTGCCTTTTGGGTTTTGGTCGTTGTGGCTGTTTCCGATCTGTTAACAATTTCCAGTGTGTGCCAAAGGTGATCATGTGACGTCGGTGTTCTCTACCTAAATTATTTGAAAAGGCCCTCTAATGTGTACTTAACAAGGGAAGACAACATTCTCTCTTCCTAGGTCCATCAACCTCCAGTGAGTCTTTTAACAACTTTATTTTAGTAATCACATGAGCTTGTATTTCAGCTGTTTGCATTACCTTTCTCATTCCAGGATCCGACAAGAGTTGGAGGAAACAAGGCGGCCAAGTGATGACGGGGAGGTAACTGGAGCCCTTTCTGCTGGAGCTTGGTGGGCTGTTGAGTTCTGTGGAAGGCCAGTTCGGCGTAGTGCTTAAGAGCGGCAGACTCTAATCTGGGAGAACCGGGTTTGAGTCCCCACTCCTCCACATGCAGCTGCTGGTGTGACCTTGGGTCAGTCACAAGTACTCCCAGAGCTGTTCTCTCAAGGGCAGTTCTTGAGAGAGCTCTTTCAGCCCCACCTACCTCACAGACTGTCTGTTGTGGGGAGGGGAAGGGAAAGGAGATTGTAAGCCACTCTGAGTGAAGGGCGGAGTATAAATCCAATCTCCTTCTATTGTCTGGGCGTGGCCCTGAGGGTCATGGCAAGACCGAAGTGGGAACAAGGACTCCAATCTCCCTGTGAGCGGACTGTGTGATGAGACAGGATCCTTTTCTTCCTCTGCAGGCTGAAGTGGGCCCATCCAGGCCTCAGCGGTTCACCCGGGCCGAGATGGCGCGTGTCGTGATGGAACGCAACCTCTACAAGGAAAGACTGATGGAGCTGCAAGAAGCTGTTCGACGCACTGAGCTCCTCAGGTCAGATGTGTGGAGGTTGATGGGCCCGTACTTGATTGGCAGGGAGGGAGTCTAAGGAAAAAGGGAGCTCCCATGGGTTTGGTCCTTGCCCCTTCCCATCAGGCTCTTGATGTCATGACCCCCTCCTGCCATCTGGAAGGCCGGCCTTTGCCACCAGGCCTGGTGGAGCTTTTCCCCTCTCAACCTCACAGAAGGAGCAAGCCCCTGATGGCACCATGTTCATCGCCTTGCCTAGAAGCAACTCGGGGGAAAGCATTCAGTGGGGACCTACTCTTTATTTTCTCCATTTTACAAATTGGTGTGGTGGGAGAGGGGGGAGAGGGAAGGGCTCGCTTAAACTCCCTGGTGCTGAGCCTGTGTGTGGAACTGCTGGAGTTTACCAGCTCTGTGGGCAAGTGTATGGAACTGCTGCACAAGCTGCTTGGCATCTCTCTCTCTCTGACGCGTCTCAATTTGAGGACTAGTTTCCTTTAAACCTTGAAGAGGGAGACTTGGAGTCTCTGTGCTGCGCCGGGGCAACTGCTGAAGGATGATTTCTCCCTTCTCAGGGCTTCCCGGGAAGAACAGGCAGTTCAGATGAAGAAATCGTCTTTCTGGAAAATGTAGGTGCTGTCTTTATTGTACTATTTGTGTTCTAGGTATGCCCTGATGTGGTTGGGCTAGGCTAGCCTGATCTCATCACATCTGGAAAGCTAAGTAGGGTCAGCCCTGGTTAGTATCTCGGACGGGAGACCACCAAGGAAGACCAGGGCTGCTTCACAGCCAATGGCAAAACCCCACCTCTGTGCATCTCTGTGCCTTGAAAACCCTACAAGGTCACCATATGTCAGCTGCGACTTGACTCCTCTTCCATCTCCTCTTTGACTATGAGCAGCCAGAAGGCTCTTTCACTGTTAATCCTCATGATGTAGAAATGGTGCTCCCCTTTGCATTGCATCTGGCTTTATTTTCAGAGGTGACTTTTGATGGCACTCCTTTCCCCCCTTTTAAGTAATCACGTCGGCTTTCCTCTTGCAGCTTTGATCGCTTGTTTAGCCCCTCGGACTCTCTGGAAAAGACGCCTGCATCCCCGCAGCTGGCAGGGCGGGCCCGATCTAGCCCCAGCATCTGTAGCGATTTGGGACGGAATGGGGGGCAGGCGTCTCCAGCTTTTAGATACATCCCACGAGCAACCTCACCCACTGAGTAAGTTCTGTGGCTCCTTCTAGGGTGGGGTTCACATGGACTTCATGGTTCTGATAGTCTTCTCTGGAACAATGCATGTGAGCAGTTCTACCGGCACACAGAAAAAGTGCAGGATAAAGTATTGGGTGCAGCATTTATGTTCCTGAGAATCTTTGCTCGTGTTTGTATTTACATTTATGTGAACGTCCATGGAAAAGCAAGTTTTAAGTCCTTATGTTTCTGAAGATACATTTGAAAGTATCTGGGCAATGCCGACTGATGTCCTGAAAGGCCAAAATGTGGCTGAATCAGATTTCTGTAGAGGCAATTGGTGGAATTCCAGCACCTTACATTTCTTCTCATGACTAGCAAGACTAGAATAAATTATGGGGGGAAAGTCTGAAAGTAAACTAATGCAGAATAAGAGAAATATGCATTTCCCCCCATCTAATCTGCACAATATATACTGTTTGCAGAATTTCTATTTGCTCCTGTTCAGCTCTTGGATTCTTAGTGTAGAGCCCTGGAAATTATTTAGAACCTGCTTGTTGTACTTTAGAATCAGGGATAAAGACCTGTGGCCTTCCAGGCTTTATCCATCTTATTTTGTCCTTGAATGACCCCTGCATGGTCAGTAGAGCCATATGTAGTGTGTTGGACAGAGTCTCTCTGCTGCCCACTACTGTCTGTTATGTGTATCTGCAGGGGCAACTCTTCCCCGCAACAGAAGCGTCATGAGCTGTACCGTGATATCCGCTCACACATCTGGCAGGAGCATGGTCGGGCACAGATCCATGGGTGGAGCCAGCCACCTGCACTTCAGGTGAATGTTCTTCTGCCCTCACCCGGATCTCAGGCATCTAAGTGTCATGCTCCTGTGGGTCCCATGCTGAGGGACTGCGTCTCGTGGACTGATTATATTCAACACTGATAACAGATCTGTGTAATAAAACTGCCGGCTTGCTGTTCTGTGTGCACTCATAGATCTTTGTACCACCAGCTTTCCCTCATGGAACTAGGATGTCCATAGGTGTGAACATACTCTGTGAGGCGCCCAATAGTACAGTGTTTTGAAATGTTCTGTTATTTTCTTTCACCCAAGTAACAGGATCCATTCCTGGTTAGGAACATACAACTCTGCTAGGCAAGTCTCCATGTGTGAAAAACATAGCTGTTTATTCCACTGCAGGGCCATGATCCACCTCTGGTTGGTGCTGACGTGCCTGTGCTTGTACAGTTACGGATGTTGGACCAGAAGGACCCGAGCACCAAGGTGAGGAAGCAGGTTTAAAAAAGAATGGTGCTTTCCGGGCCCAGTGAAGGCTAGCTGGGAGACCTGAGCAGTAAATCACCCAGAGATTTATTGCCAGCCTCTACGCAGATATGTGTGTGTGCCAGGCTGCTAGGAATGTTTTATTTCTTACGACATGCTGGCTGTTCCCTCACAGCACACTAGTGCACACCTGTACAGAATTCAGGAATTTATTGTTGCAAAGCCTGTGCTGTTCCTCTCGGTAACGATCACCAGGTAATGCTTGTATCTCTCCCATTGCAGCTGTGGTGTGCTGCAGCATCTGTTGGGCTGGAACCTCAAGAGACCCCAGAGGCTGTAAGTACTTTGGGAAACCAGCAGCAATCACTGCTTGAGGTTCTGTGGGGCAAAACACTTAGCAGGTCCTCTCTGTTCCAAAAGACCAAAGTCTTTTCCAGTTTGCAGAGCTTTCTCTGCCAGGCCAACTTAATAATAATTAATGCTAAGCTGTCGAGTCCCAGGTAACATGTGGTGACCCCTCATGGGGGTTGTCAAGGTAAGGGATAAGCAGAAGTGGTTTGCCATGGCGAGTCTCTGCATAGCAACCTTGGTCTTCCTTGGTGGTCACGTACAGACTGTGACCAACCCTGCTTAGCTTCCAAGACCTGATAAGATCAGGCTAGTCAGGGTTCTTTTGGCTGCTGCCAGGCCATTCAGAAGAAATGTGAGTGGTAATATGATCCTGGAAATGTGTGGGTGGGGGGGCGGGGCTTGGGAAGGCTCGATGTCTCGCTGACACCTCTCTTTCTTCCGCCCACTCCCCATAGGGTATGCCTGATCGATGCCATGTAGGCAGCTCTCGGCTCTGGGTGGCCTCAGGGACCCACTCGGCAAGCGAAGTGATGCTTTTCGACGCTCAGAACCCAAACCAGCTCCTGGAACATTTTGTGTTACCTGGAATTCACATCCACTCTCTTGCATGTGTGCCTGGTAAGGGTGAGGAAGGGGAACTCTGGGAGGAGGAAGGGAAGGACTTGTGCAAATCAGGAGCTGATGCAGGTGGTGGGATTGTGCAGTGGTCGGGGATGGGTGGGAAAAGATTTCTAAGTGTCTGCTTGTTTTAAGAGGCAACTGACAGATATATCATACGGGGTTTTTTTTAAAAAAAAATGCATGCAGTTTTTCAGATAAAATATTGCAGAGTTGCACAAATGGTACCATAAAAAATTGTGTGGGTTACACGTATAAAACCACTGCTGGGTTGGAACCAAAGGTCCATCTGCTCCAGCATCCTGTTTCTACAGTGGCCAACCGGACGCCTCTGGGGAAACCCACAAGCAGAGGATAAAGGCAATAACCCATGGCCAATGCTCCCTCTAAGCTGTGGAGTCTTGTGAGCAAAAGTTCTACTTTGTGAGCTGCCGGCATTAAAGTTGTGAGCGAGCGATTTGGCTACTGCATAAATTAGTTTGCTCTGGAGCCATCCTTCCTGAGCTAAGGCAAAAATGTGTGAGCCGGAGGCTTAAAAACTGTGAGCTAGCTCACACTAACTCAGCTGTTGTGAGCTAGCTCACACTATATGGCTGCAGTTGTTCCCCCCCCCCCCCCAACACTGGTGCTAGAGGCACACTGCCTGTGGACATGGAGGTTCCATGAAGCTGCTTTATACCAAGTCAAGACCAAACACTCCCTGTTTGAACTGCTGCCTTCGGGTAGAAGATATAGGACAATTAAAACAAGGACAAACAGATTAAAAACAGTTTTTATTCGAGAGCTATTATTGCTTTAAATGCTGTATGAATTGGAATTTGGGTGACATTGGTGGTTTAAGTTGCAATGTGAACCTTAAGGGAGTTATGGGATGGTTGTGAATGGTTGTGTGAGTGTATATGAGTATGGTTGTAGATCACCGAATGATTGCATCTTAATTTCGTTGTACTATGTACAATGACAATAAAGTATATTATTATT